TCCTTGCAGAGCTGTCACTCAAGCACTGTACCTGACTGAGACTGTCACCGCCCACCACCCAGAAAACCCCATCTGGATCCCCAGCTGTACCAGCCTCCAGGTCACTGTGAGGGTATTTTAAAACTGTGGTCCCCACACCAGGGGAAGAAATGGGGTTACCCCATCTTTATTCCTTACAGGAACTGGTTGTCTTACAATAGCTGTCTGTAGCTGGTGATTGGTGGTGGCTTTGGACGTCTTTGGCTGGGGTTATGAATCAAATCAATCTGTACCTCATACAACAGGGTCTAACAGAATGCAAGGAAGTGACCATAGGACAAATCCATGACAGACAGCAAGCCTGATTTCTACTTGGAAACCACCAGTTTATTCCCCTATGACAACAGGTGTTGATCCTGCTATACAGACGCTGACCCCTGTTGTCTTCTGTAGACTGCAATGATACGCCAGCTTGTGTGGGTGACAGTCAGACGCTCAGCGCCTCCACCGCCCTGGTGGAGTAATTTCCAGTAATTTCCTGCCTCACAGATGCTGGGCAGTGGACCACACACCAAGTTGCGATGCTCATCCAAATCTGACCTTCCTAACTGTATCAGAGAGATTCTATGCAGGGATTCTTCTCGCACTGTATGGTGGAACATGCCATTATCCAAACACAATCAGGCTGGCCTCTAGTACATACATAAAAACACTGTTCCAGGGGACCTCTGTAATGAGAGCATGTCCTTGTCTGATGGCCACATCCACCAAGAAGCTCACTAGCAATCTGTCCCCTGTGTCCCAGAATGCCACTGTCTACCAAGGATGTCCAGGAAGGGCATTGGACAGTGCATACCCCTACTTTGGGGCCTTCCCCCGACATACTGGATATTGGCCCCTTTGCCCTGGCACAACACTCACTGAACACTTTCCTCCCACATTACCCTAGAGGCTCCTCGATGTGCTCTTTCCTCTCCGTCTCTTCCTAATCTGCACAAGGGGACCTGTTTCTCTCCAGATCCCATTGTCAAGGATGGCCCAGTCATCCTCCTTCAGAACTTCTCCTTTGCCTCTAGCATACTCAGTAGGCACCAATCACAGAGGGACACCTTTAGTGTATGAAATTCTCTAAGGTCCTCTACCTGTCAATTCTGACTGTTCTTCTAGTTGGCTACTTCCACAGAGGTCAGATTGGACTATACAGACTTGGAGTTCCAATCTCACCTAACCTATGGCTCTTTACTCCCTTCTCTCACTAGTTCCGAGCTTGTTTATTAGTGGAATGTGTCTGGGGAATCAGGTGGCTGCTCAGACATTTCACCAGGCCCTTGCTGGATTCACAGAGGTACCTAGGATAAATTGGCCCCATTTTAGATTCACGTCTTGTAGGTCTATTCAAGCACACAGACAACTGCTGTTATGGCTGTGTCTAGATGCTCTCTGAAGCCTCACGCAGTCATGGGTGATGCTTTTTCAGAGGTGGATGGATCTACAGCGTGCGATGCTGGGATTGATTCGTGGCAAAGTCCTAGGCTCCAAGGCACTAGGACTAAGGGTCCTAGCAGCCTGGATAAGATGCAAGACACAGAAGGAGCTGTGGTCGCCCCTTACTTGCTTTGCTACCTCCTGCTCGCCAAGAACGTTTTCTCCCTTGCTTCACCATCCTGCCTTGGAGCCAGCTGATTATGGACTGAAATGGAGACTGTGAGCTATGTAAACTTTTCCTCTTTTAACTTTGGGTGTCGAGTATTTTGTCTCAGCACCTGCTCCCTATTGGCACCCCTTTCCTTGCATCTCATTCTAAACCCGGGTCCTTGATCCTCAAACCCATTATCAAGATTTTTTTCATCTGCTTCATGGCATCTGATTTTGGCCTACAACCAATGACAAACACTGAATGCTTCACCTCCTCCATCCATTTCCTCCTGTGACCAACCTGTCCTGCAGGGTGAGTAGGGCCTTGTGTCTTGGGCCCTGCAGCTGCTACAGCCCTCCAGGAAGCTCAAATCGTAACTTCCCCACACGAACTCCGGGGATGAAGGATCTTCAACTCTTGCCCCAAATTTCTCAATTCTTATACTCTTCATCCCAGTCCTGAACAGAACTTCACATTTTTCCCCCAAATTTTTAAAGGAAGATCTTGTAAGACAAGACACGATCTCATTGTAACCAATACTGTTTCTTGAAAATCAAACCATCATGTTAAAAATCCAACAACAGTGAAAGAAAACCCAAACTTGCTGGATATGGTGCTTTCTGCCATCTCCCAGGTTTGGCCACCAGAGTCTTCACCCCTTCTGATTCCCCTTGGGCACTGTTCAGGGACCCCCAAGGTGGTATCAGGGTGCAACCTCTCCAGCAACCATGAACTGTATGCTTGATTAGCTTTCTGGGTGGTGAGACGGGGAACCTTCCTTCAGTTCAGGAGAGTTGGACGCCTCCTATCTCTGGCAACTCCCACTGATGCTACTGTTAATACTGGCTTGGGCCTGGCAGTTGCAACCAAGACCTACCCCTCACCACAATCCAATTATGCAACTCACAATTATGTATCACACAATGCAGGCAGCTATTTATGGCATGCCTCCTGGAAGTCGGTGATGGGCTAATTGCTGAAGGACATGGATTTTTTTTTTTTTTTTGGTCTTTTTCATTTTTAATCGGTACCAGGGATTGAACTCAAGACTGCCTGTTTGCAAGGCAGGCGCTTATGCCGCTGAGCTAAATCCCCAGCCCCTAAGACATGAAAAGAATCTCATATCACATGGACATGGCCCTGCCAGATAGATACAACACCCAGTCCGTTCAGCTTTGGATTATGGTGCTCCGACAGCAGCTGACCCACGACATTGGCATTTCAATTATGACACTCCTGGTGACTCTAACATGCCTGACACACCGGTCCTTACCAAACAATGTAAAACTTCCCTCCCAACACTGGCTGACAGCTCCAAGCCACTAGAGACACACAGCAGGTGTCTTATAACTCATTCGTCGCTGCTGACACGCAACCTAACGCTGACTGCTCTCGTGGCCCTAACATTCTCCATCAATGTGATGCCTGGACCGCCACACGGCACCGGCTGGGTTTCCCTACCTGTTTGGGCAGAGGGCAGTTGGGTACCTTTTGGTCATGGATTTTTGTCCGCTTGGCAAGGTTCATAGACTGACTTAATGTCCTCCCTTCCTGAAACACTGATTTCTCCATTTTGTACTGTATTGGGTTCATTTTTCACTCAGCTCTGTATTGTTTCACACATCCTAAAAAATACCCATCTGTCACATGTCTGGTTTGGTTCCTCTCTGCATCTTTTGAGGCACACAGTGAGTGTCAGGGGGTGGCATGAGGTGAGCAGGACAGACACCTTCTTACACTTCTGTCTGGGTTCTGATTTACTTCCTGTGCCTAAACTTCCTGGATGATAACCTGCATGGTAACCATATGGCCTGTGCACCAGAAACTTACCTTGTGAGATGCTTTTGAGAAATTTTAAAACATAGGTTTTCTAAGAAATATATTTGTACCAATGAAAACTACATTTTTGCCATCACAAGGTGGGCACATGTCATTTGTTATCGAAGTCCCAGCGGCATAAAAGGCAGTGCCTCAAGGTTCACCTCTGGCTCAGTGCTCGTGAGTTCTGTAAATGCCTGGGACATCACTCCAGTTCCCAGCTTAGCCGTGTGAGCCCCTCTAGGCCTGGTTGTGATTAGTGATCAATAAGCCACGGCACTCGGGAAATGACTCTGCTCTTGGGATCTTTGTGTGGCAGATGCATCCACTGCCTTTGGCTCCTCTGAGCCCCAGGGTGGTCTAATTCAGGGGTCCTTTTAGCCTCATGAGTGGCCTCGGTGTCCACTCCCAGCACCAGCCCATTTCAGTAGTTTTGGTAATGCATCCATCCTGCTTTCCGGTGAGCACCGTCTTCCCTCTCCAGAGAGCAGGGACAGCCTGCTCTACGAAATCTCACCAGATGGGCAAAGGGTCTCATTTCTTGGTCTTGAGTGTGCACACATGTGTGTGGGGCCTAGGACAAGCATCCTGGGTCACTTTGCCCTTCCTATTTCTCATTCCCATGCTTTCTCCAACCAAAGCCCCAAATCTCCCCCATTGCTGGCCTGACTTTTTTCTTTTAACTTTTTTGAGACAGGGTCTCACTATGCAGTTCAGGCTGGCCTTGAGCTCACTTTGGAGCCCAGGCTGGTCTTGAACTCACAAGGATCCTCCTGCCTCAACCTCCCAAGTGGTAGGATTACAGGCATGTACCACTATGTCCGGCACCTGGCCTGACTTTTGAAATCATTTCTCCCCCATGTCTATCTTTCTGCAAGATGAAATGAACATGACTTTTGTCAGTGTTCATCAAGTTTGGATCACTCTGTATTTACTTTGGGTGAGGGTCAGCGTGTGCTTACACTGGAAACACACATTTGCTCACGCCGCGAAGGCCTGGCTCCAAAGCACCTAAAAGGAGTGGAGTCACAACTGAATGTTTGGACCCCAATGTCTGGACATCCTACACCTATGCCCGGTGGGTGGGGAGCAGGCCAGGAGTTAGGGTTAGGACAGGAACAGCAATGGAATGCAACCGGGCCAGCACTCAGGACCCAAGTGCTGCTTTGAGGGTCACTGTCGGTGACTCCAGTGAATCACATTTTGGGTTTCTCTGCCAGGGGGATTTTTTGTGATTGCTTTAAAAAAAGCAATCACAAAACATCTGAAAAACCTGGTTTGAAAAAAATGCGCATAGGACGTTGCATTTACAGTTCCAAACCCTGACGAAGAAGCAGAGTTTACCTCTAGCTCCTGACTCCGATTTTTTGCCATGACAAACCTAAACTTTAGTTTCTCCTGAAGGATTGGGACTAATCTGTGGTGTGTCTGTCGCGTTCCAAAACACGCATCATTCCGAAAACGCTCCAGAAGTGACCTGGTTGAAAGGTTCACGTTTTTTGTTCGTATAAGGAGAAGGCTAGTGCAACCTTCGGGCAACAAGAAACTCAGCACATAAAGGATTTATTTACTCCTGCTCCCGCCTCAGGGAGATGTCTGCATTCTTCGGAGAGGTCTAGTTAGGCGCCCGGGGAAACAGCTGAAAGAGGACATTCATGTGGGTTCTGGCGCACGCCCGGCTCGTCTAGGTCAAGGAGCCCAATTACCCCGCAGAGGTGCGGGGACTGACTTCCTGGAGACCATCCACGGACGGGCGCGATCGGGCGGGGCGCCGCACTTGGGCTGCCGGGGCCGGGGCCGGGCTCCGGCGGTGACGCGGCCGGGGAGGGGACGCAGGGGACCGAGGGGAGGCCCCACACGCCCCCGCCCGCCGCCTCCCTGATTGGGCCAGCGCGGCCCGGCCCGCCGCTGCCCAGCCCGCTCCCTGCGGGGACACGAGCCGAGCTGGCCCTGGCGAGGCCCTCGCCCGGGATTTAAAGCCCGCAAGTTTTGTTCTGGAGACCACCGACCTCGGCCCCGTCCGGCCCGGCCCGGGGAGCAGAGTCGATCTCCACGAGGGACGCGTGAGGACCTGGGCTCGCCCTTAGTGAGTTTTGCATCCATCTCTCCGAAACAAAGGTGAGAGCGAAGGTAAAAATCCTCGCGATGACTGGCCGGGGGAGGGAAAGGGGCGCATCGGTAAGGGGCGCAACGTCCTTGCAGAGCGGCCGCGGCTCGAGGGACACGGAGCCCCCCGCCCCGGTCTTTGTTAGTCGGGCTCCAGCAGCTCCAGTGTAAGTGCATAGAGACCAGAAACCTTTCCAAGAGTCTCCCACTCTTGCTGGAAAACTAACCCAGGATGGACAGAGGCCTGAGGAACTTTGCGTCCTATGTGACTGTCGCGTGTCCCGAGCGAGCAGGACCAGAGGCTCGGCGCTTATCGCGCGGACGGACAGCGTCTGAGGCCGGTGGCTTTGCACGGAATGAGTGTGTGCGATCAGCCGTGTGATTCAAAAACCACTGCCCAGTAGCCCGCCGCGTGCAACTCGGCCCAGGCCCTGTCTGGGTGGAGAAGGTTCCTCCCCTTCAGTCGCCAAATGGAGAAGTCCGCAGAGCGCTTCGGTGAGCGAGCCCCGGGCTCCCGTTGGGTTTCCTTTGTGTTGTGGACCTGATCCACTCCCGGGTCCCTGGCGGAGCTGGAGGCGCCCTGCCTCTCTCCCGCTCGCCCCACCACGCCCCGCCGGCCCTGCCCGGCCGGTCCGCCCCGCCCTGGCCCGTCCACTGCGCGCCTCCCGCCGGTCCGCTCGCTCTGCGACCGAGCGCGCTCTCCCGGCCGGGCTGGGCCAGGGCGCACCGGGCCGGCCGAGGTCTCCCAAGGGCAGAAAGGGAAGAGGGGCGAGGCGCGGACGACGCGCGGGTTCGCGCGCGCGGCTCCAGGACCACAGGTCGGAACGCGCCCTGGGGTCGGGGTGCGCGCACGCGTAGGACTGGGGGCGCCGCCGCCGGCGCGGACGGAGGGCGCGTTCCCTCCCCGGGAGCCTTTGTTCGCCCCGGCCTGTGTGGGCTGCCGCCCGGTCGCCGCGATCGCGGGCCCCGCCGCCGCGTGGGTGCTGCTCGTAGCTCCGGACGCCAGGGTTCCGGCGGGGGCAGGGGCCCGGAGCGTACCCCCGTCCCGGGGAGCTCGGGCCAGCCGGCTGCCGCTCCGCGATGCCTGGGGCCGGCGGCGCGCGGCAGCCGAGAGGTGAACGCCGCGCCCCCTGCCCCGGTTTCCGGCGGGGTCCGGAGCGGCCTCCGCCTCCGGGCTGCAGCGCGGGACGCGCGCGGAAAGCCTGGGCCGGCGGGGTGGGGAGTGGGGAGACCGGCGGGCGGGAGGCTTTTGGCGGCGAGTTACAGGCTGGGGAAAGGAAACGGGGAAGTGGGCAGGTAGGGGAAACTAGAAAACTAAAATCTGTTACTGGAGAGAAAGTCGAGACTACACCTTGCTTTGACGCTGCGGGTTTTATTTGCATCGGGGTGACCGACAGACGGTTGCTAGCTCAAGTACCGTTTGGACACGAAGTATAAACTTTGATTTCGCCTCAGCTACACTAGATTCTTTCCCAGTGCTGCTCTTCTTAGGTTATGGGCCCTGCTGACGGGACACTCCCGTGGTCACCGCAGAGTGGCCGGCGAGGGCACAGAGCTGCTATTTAGGCTACGTCTCTAATGAAAGCACAGCCATCAGAATTGGATTGGTTCCTCTGTGCCTTTATTTTGGGAAACCTTACCTGGTCCCTATGCGGGGAAGGGAGAAGAATGGGAGGAGCTGAAATTGACCCAGAAAAGGGTTGATTGAAAGTAAATGGCGCAAGTAGTGGCGCAAAAAATGATCCCACCCTGATCACTCTGAAGGACGATTAGCGACGTGCAGGCCAGGTTTTAGCTTTTTCTAGAAAAACCGAGGGCGGATGTCACGGCTTGCTGCAACATGGGAGGGGAAACTTTCTTTAGGGACCAAGGCCAAACAAGATAGTGAATACGTGAAGGGTTTCCACTCTAGCTTTCCTTGTCCCCGTCTTTCTCCCCACCCACGCGTGTGTTTCCAGCATCCTCTAAGATGAGGCTGGTCCACCCGGACACCTAAGGTCCGAGGAATGTTGACAGGGAAAGGTCCTGTGCACAGAGATGTTCTTTTGGGGAGAGTGACAGAGGAGCACCCCAGAGAGAGAGAGAGAGAGTACAGACGCTTAGAACTGTTTTTCCCCCAGAGAAAACTGCAGATGGGGCTGGATTTTCAAAAATAAAGTTTAGTCTCTAGTGAGTTAAAAAAAAAAGTCAGATTGTGATTCATTAAAAGTGGAAATCAAATTTCCCTTTTGATAAAAGGCGTTCGAACAGTGAGAGTGTAGTAAAAGGAGACAACTTTCTAATTCTCAAATATGGAACAGCTTGAATAATCACTCATGGGTTTTGAAATGGGTCATCTTTAAAAAGGGGTCACTTGGGCTGGAATCCTGCACTTGGGGACTTTCACATCGGAAGGGTCGAGTTCGTCCAGAGGCCCACTTGTGTTAGAATTTGCATTTCAGAACACAGAGTTCTAGAGGGACAGAGCAATTTAGAAGGACACGGTCTCTTCTCGAAGTACCAAGATGTACCCTACTTTGTGTATGCTCGGTTGAATTTTGGACTTCAGGAAATCATTTAAAGGGCTTTGCCATTGGACCTCAGATCTGTGTCCAAAAAGATGCTAGTTGGAACAATGTAAATCTAGAATTACCTCCCGTACTGTGTGCAGTATCTATGCTGTGTTAATTTATATAGAGAGGACATAAGAATATTTATATATATATATTTTTATTTTTATTTTATTTATTTTATTTTTTTTATTTTTTTGGTCTTTTTCATTTTTATCGGTACCAGGAATTGAACTCACGACTGCCTGCTTGCAAGGCAGGCGCTTATGCCGCTGAGCTAAATCCCCAGCCCCAGAATATTTATATTTTTTAAAAAAAGCAACCAGGTAAGATGTTAACTTAAATTCAAGTGACTTTTTACATTTGGCTGTTACAGGTTTAGAGAGTGGCTTTGAGCTATAACTTACTCAGATTTATCTTCCATGTGAAGGTTTGAACACTAGAATCAGCAGGCTGCTACAGAAGAGAGTGTTCTACCAGCTCTGCAGGCAACAAAACCCCCAAACATCAAGTTCAACACTTTGTTATACAGCCTTGGGTTCAGCTAAGGTTTCTTATTTTTCTCTTTTCCTTCATTGTTACAACTTTTTGACAATGTTCTAAGCAAACAGCCAAAACACTGAATCCATTAGGTTTTCTTCTCCATAATTTACAGGGCTTTATGGCCTTCCATCTGTCTCATGTCACTGAAAGATATTTTAGGTGCATAGTGTTCTTTCCTGTCAAGACAATGGGAGACCTTTTTCGGTCAATTAAGAGAGATATTTCTCAGCCTCAGCAATGTTTGGAGATGTGTTAAGTGGCCCTTAGCAATCGAATGGGTATTTTAATAAACTCTTACCTTAAATGAATTAAATACATTCTTCTCAGATACGTTTTTGAGAAGAATCATAATGAGTCTAGCTCAGCATTTTGATAGCTAAAAAATGTTAGCTATCTACTAAGGAACCCACAGTGGTAAAGATACGTGAATGGCTTTTAGAGAAAGGAAGTTATACTTAGTCAGTAACTTACCTCAACTGATTCTCGGCAAACACGGCACCCAGTTTAGACGTCAGAGCATTTTCCAGTAAATAAGAGAGGCAGGCTAGAGACCTACTTTACTTTTGCCCCTCGTTCTAAGACCCTCAGCTTTTCCCTCTCTCATTAGGTCCTGATTCCAGGTTGCAGTGGAACGCTGAGTGGCCTTCTGTCGGGGCCTTCTGCACCTGAAACATCCCTGAAGTCTCCCCAGCGTCCCACCACTGGCCTCCCATATGGTAAGTGAAAAGCTGATATCTATAGAATCAGTTAAGTGGAGGCCTTTGGGGCTGCCCACTGTCATGCCTTGAGCAGTGCAGGTGCTTAAATAATGGCTTATTAGAAAAATGTCGGATGGCAAAGACAGAAATTATCATATATAACTCTTATGTACTATTTTGCATTTTGTCTTCTGTGTAGTAAAACCATCAATCAAATGTCCAGAATAAGACAGATAAAGTGCCTTATTTCTGAATTACCATTTTTCTTACCACTGTTTGACCTCAGCTCTTCATTCTAATTTCCTTGATTCCACCATTTCCCCTTTTCCCCTAACTTCTAGCAAATGGAATGGACTTCTCTGCTCTAACCACAGGTTTTCTCCTGTAGGCTTTCAAAAGTTCCAACACCAGTCTCTCTTAGAATGACTTCCCTCCTCCCCATCTTCCTTTAAATGCCCCATTACTGTCTTTCCTTCTGGAGCATTGCGTTTTGCCTCCCCAGACCCATAGTGGAATTCTGGCTCCTACTCTAGCTCTGCTCATTTGTGCCTCTCCCACAAAGCTGTCCCCAACTTCCCCCTTCTCCCCCTCCTCTCATCAGGGGAAACCCATCCCTCGCAGCACAGCTGGTTTAGTAAACAGCTTTCCAGTATCAGACTCCTCCTTAGATTCTCCACGGCCTCCCCTTCCCCAAACCATATGCAACAAAACAAATGTCCCTTGGCTAGCTTTACTGCAGGCAAAGCCATCTTCGGAAATCTCAAGACTGAAAACTCTTAGCTTGAGCGAATGTTGATTCTAGGAACTCAGGTGAAGGCATCACAGTGTGGGAAGAGCCCTACTAGGTGGAGTTGGGAGTCGGGACAATTTTCAGAGTCTCTGACATCACATTAGTGGGCTGGGCAATTGCATATTACTGAGAGATGAATTTGTATTTTTGACTCATGTCCTGGCTGTAACCCTTATGATGGCTGGCTGGTTTACAGCTATTAATCATGTTTACTCGTTGCTTGTTGTTTCATGAGCGAACTTTAATTGTGTCTGTACATGTTTTCTGCTCTGACTCATGAAGTTTTGATGCAGCTTTTTAGTAAAAGAATGATAGCGGGACATGGTGGCTTTCACCTGTAAGCCCAGCACTCAGGAGGCTGAGGAGGAGGATCGGGGCAAGTTTGAGGCCAGCCTGGGCTACATAGTGAGTTCAGGGCAGCCTGAACTATACAGCGAGAACCTGTCTCCAAAAACAAAGATGGTGGCTTCCCCAGGGTTAAGGTGTGGCTGTGTGCTCATGACTCCTCACTTTTCAATTTACCTGACACTTGCTCATCCGATGCTTGCTTAAAACATCCTCTGTGCAGTTCAGGTGCTTAAATAATAGTCAGCTTATTAGCTGACTAAGGAACCCACACTGGTAAAGATACGTGGATCTTTCGCTCAGTGCTTTTCCAAGGCAAGCGGGGCGGGGTTCAGACTGTTGGGGCTGTTTTCCTGTCCTCTCCTTTATTCCATCCCACCTCTTTGTCCTGCTTTCTGCCACTTTGCATTTTCTGTCCTTGGATTCCTGGTGTTTGGAGAAAAACTTTTTTGTCCAGACAACACAGCCTCCTGAGGTCACTTTTGCCAGATGTTTAGCGGGATTGGGTCGAAGCAAAGAGAAGAAAGAAAGTCTGTGCCCTCTTTGGAGGGTTCGGGAAGGTTATGTTAGAGAGGAGAACGAGAAAGACAAGGAATGCTACCAAAATGCAGGTCAGGGCAAAGCCTGATGGCTCCCGGGCAGCCGGGGGAGTGGACCTTTGGTGTTTGGGTCACTAACCTTGGCCCGGCCCCACCTACTTCTCAGTCCTCCCTGAATCCATTAGGTTCCACCTGATTGGGTGGAACCGCAGAGGCCATGCCAGGGAGCAAGGGCAGGAGAGGGACAGGGCTAGGGGCTCGGAGATGCCTGGGGCTTAGGACCGTGCCCGGTAATCCGGTATCGTGGTGCCTCAGTTTCTTCTGCAAAATGCGGAGATCCTTTCCGCCTATGGATTATTGGAGGATGAAAGAGTTCCTATGTTTGTAAAGCCCTGGTAAACATAGCCACGTTGTTTACTTTTGCTAGAATAAAGAAGCTTCTTTATTCTACCAAACCATCAAAAAACAAAACCAAAAACCCAGCAAGATTTATCTTTGAGAAAGCAAGCAGCCCCATCAACCCAAAAACTGTTGCATGATTGAATTCAGAGGCCCAGACATAGGAAAGTAAATGTTTGACTTCTTTTATATTTTCCTCTATTTTTGTTGTTGTAAATTCCGTGTCATCAAACTACTTACTGGAAAATATGAGGAGCTTACGGTGCCAGCACTAAAGTAAGTAAACCTCCTGGCACCAGTTTCCATAGTAAAGACTTAGGGTTTGTCTTCATACATTTCTCCATCTGGTATTTGCTTGTCTTTATTTCCCCTATAACTAGCAAACAAATCTACACCCATGTTTAACTTCTAAAGAAATGCAGAATTTAGTTTACATAGGTGGGGATCCTAGAACTGGATTCTCATGGTAGGTTTTATAACCCAACTTTCCTCTCTGTCCTTTGCTTACTAAATTGGAATTTAAGATCTCTGGACTAACCCTGAATCAAGAACTAACTCTATAAATGTATTCTTTGTAGAAGAGTGATAATTCCAAAAGGCTTCTACATTTTTCCCATAGCTTGAGGTACTGGGGTGTTTTTTTGTTTGTTTTTTGAGACAGGATCTCACTATGCAGATCAGGCTGGCCTTGGGCTCACTTTATAGCCCAGGCTGGTCTCAAACTTGCAACGATCCTCCTGCCTCAGCCTCCCAAGTGCTATACCACTACATCCAGCTTTAAGCTTCTGTTTTATGGGTGACATCATAGCCATAAAAACACCTGAAGATAACTAGTGGGTGAAATGTCCCTCTTTTATGGCACTCGACCTACAAAACAATATCACTGTTGAAAGGATATCCTATTTCTCACAGTTATAATGCGAGCTGTAAAATGAAAATTCAAGTTGCTTCCTCCCTTGCTGAGCACACCGTGTAGACAGTGCCACCTGGTTGTGTGGTTACAGGAAATTGTCTTTCTTGCTTTTGAGTCATGCCTGAGCAGGAACCAAAATTGTCTGTCACATGAAACTTTAAGCAGTCAGAGTTTAAATGCAAATAGCATCCAGTTCTAAGGCTTCTTTTAAAAAAAGGCTCATTCTTACTAGTAGAGGAACCTTATTAATTTACAGTCATACTTAATAATCATGCCACTTTGAAAAGGATTATCAATATTTTTAAGACTCAAGGGAGATGTTCTAAATACTAAATCAATTTTTAAAATGAAGACCATCATCCATTCAGTCCTGTTTTCTATGAAACCATTTGGTGGTAGGTTTTACTACATTTTATTTTATTTCTCTAACAAAGAAAAAAAAAACCCTAAAACTAGGATAGAATGGTTACATTACCTTGTTTCTTCTAATTAATGTATTAAGATTGCCTGCTGAAGTAGAATTTCAGGATTTATTTTTGCTTTGGCAGCCAGTGAAATAAGAGAGGACTATTTTATAGGCGAGTGCTCCTTTCATCTAAGCTGGTGTTTCCCCACTTTGTGAGTCACAATCTGTTGGTTGATGCAACAATTTTCGGAAGCATAGGAGTCCAGCATTAAGAAAGAGGAAGAGACACAGGATATCGCATGTGGCAAAGTTAGTACTGTTTTAGGATACTTTTATGAATGCAGACAGGTCCGTGGAAGTCAGCAACAGGGCTTAGGCTGAGATCTGAGAGACAGGGAGATGAAAGCACAGAGATGACTCCTATTTCTATCTACAATTTTGATATTTAAAAATTTTTTTAAAAATTAACTTCAACTTTTAAGAAGTCTTTAATGAACTATGATGGTTACTGTAGTTTTGCATCCCAATTTAGGTATCTCACGTGCGTCCCCAAACTGAGTTTTACCAAGGGCTGGCTGTGGGGACAGGAGCTGACAGCTGAGGTCGGATGTCCTCTCTAGGAGGCAGCAGGTGAAGGGGTCAGCCTCAGGGGACAGGCCGCCGAAGGGACTGGGAGAAGGTGTGGGTCCAGGGCAGGAACAGGCGTGGTGACCGCTGCCCAGAGCGACGGTGCCGTCTGTGGTGGGTCGCCTGCCTGCTTGCGTGGTAGGTGTCTCCAATATCCCTGAAGGTGCTGAAGGAGCAGGTCCAGGAGTGACCTGGTCCAGGGGTGGGGGGGTGGGGGAACACACAGGACACCGTGACAGGAGAGCTCAGGTTTTGAGGATCCTACACTTGGGATGTGGAGCAGGGATTGCAAGAAAGGTTGGGAGCGTGAGTGTGCTAATGAGTGGTGTCCTGGAATTTTAAGGTCTCCAAGGAAATGTCGTTCTGCGTGAAGCCACATAACTGACTTTCTCACTGCTATGTTGTGTCAAGTGTGTGGGAGGGAATGCAGCCAAAATGGTAGGCAGGTCATTACAAGGCTTCCTAGCTGGGCTTGGTGGTGCATGCCTGTGAGTTCGGCACTCTGGGAGGCTGAGGCAGGAGAAACCAAATTTCAGAAAGGAGAGCACAGCCTGGGCAACTTAATGATTTAGTGAGACCCTGTCTTAAAATTTAAAAAAAATAAAAAAAAAATAAGCTAAAAAGGCTGCAGGTATGCTGAGTGGGAAGGCCTTAGGTTCAACCCCATGCTACAAAAAAAACAAGTTTCCTTAGACTTGTGAGTGTTGTGTGAATACAAAATAAAACACAGAAATAGTTTCCCTATTAGGTGCTATTACTAGGACAGTGGCCATAAGAGGGGTCAAGAAACATGGACAGAAGCAAAAGTATACATGTTTTAGAAATTAGAATTTACTAACTGGATCTCTGTAACATTACTCAGCCCTCAGTTTTTTGTTTTTTGTTTTTTGTTTTTTTTTTTCCTCTTTTGGTACTGGGAATCAAACTTAGGACTCTGCACTTGCCAGGCAGGTGCTCAGGCCACTGAGCTCCATTCCTAGCCGTGAGCTCTTGGTTCTG